AGACGCTGATACTTCCGGTGCCCCTCTAAGGCATTGAATCGTGGACGTTAAATGAGACTGACCGGAGAGCATTTGATGTCTTTGAGCGTAAGCTGCTGCGAACAATACTCGGCGGTAAGCAAGAAAATGGCATCTGGCGGCGTCGCATGAATCACGAGCTGTAACAAGTGTATAGCGGTACGGATATAGTGAAGCTTATAAACACGGCAGTCTATGGTGTGCTGGGCATGTAGTGCGGATGCCAGAAGGACGACAAACAAAGTTTATATTCAGCAGAGAACCCGGCAGAGGTCGTCGACTCTGGGGTAGACCTCGATCATTAAAATCACTTGCACCCCTACTTCCAAGTTTGGTTACAAGATTACAACTCTGGAGAGTATTTTGTGTGGTTCTGAATATGGCGATGAGTGTGCAAAATGTTATGCAATTGCATCCTCCCTATTCGCACACGCCCGAAGATTGGAGGCGAATGCCACTTCGACTTGTTTCGTCTACTAACGACTCTCTGATGACTGTGTTGGGGAAGCAGCATATGCATGTACGTAAATGGTAGATTTATTAGTTATTTCGAAACTTTTACACAATGCTTGACATTTACCACTTTTCCATAGTTTCTTGTTGAAAATCAACAGTCGAAAGATGCGTAGAAATATTTATGCTCTATTTGTGATAAAATTATTGAAATTGGTCCGAGGGAAGCTAAGTTATTAACGTTCAAAATCTTTCATAATTTCGTTACATGTTCCATTTTCGGTTTTCACAAATTGTACCCCCATATAGAAATCACAGACGTAGTCCTACGTAAAAAAAGTAGACGACCCTATTTTCAATATTTTGCAATCAAAAGTACCTTCAAATCCTAGGAATTCTAGTGGAACCACATTTTTTTGGGATTCATCTAGAAATGGCTAAGCTGTGTCAATGCACACTTGTGGCTTTCGAAGGCATCGTGTTCGGAATGTTAAACGCATAAGTTACTCGGAATTTGATAAACTTTTAAGTTCTTAAATTTATAACAATGTGAAAATGAGTGCATTCACTCGACCCCTGCTATGCCCACGAATAACCCAGTTTGAACTTTCCCAGTCTGCTGAAATAGAATTTATGGATTTTCTTTCGGAACAAACGAAATCTTTTCTGATTGTAATGTTATTTAATCAACTTCCCTCCTGCAGATTGATGACACGTTCTGATTTTATTTTTATCTTTGAAGCTCGCGATCATAATTCTACCTTCACAAAAACCCGGCTGATCTTATGTTAGCTTAAATATTAGTCGAATACCTACTGATCGTTCGCTGTGCGCTCCATAAATCGAGTAAATATCAGCCATCTCCAATTCTGAGGACATTAACCGTCGAGAGGCATCGCAGCACTTTAACATTAAAAAGCGACCAATAATAAATTTAAAAAAACATGTAAAAAAATTGACGTCTTTATTGGAAAATTTTTAAGGTGTACAATTTTTAATTTTTTTGATGCTTACTTTTTAGTTTTTCATTTTTTATTGGAAATTCATCAACTATTCATGGATCATTCATGTTTTTTGGATCATTGCTATTTTTTAATTTTCTGTTGCAACTTTTCATTTTACTGTTGCTTATTTTCGCAGTTTTGCCAGTGAAACATATATTTTCTATTACTACTATCCACTTGTCTAGTGCTCATTTTCAAAGCTAATTACTCCTGACCAAGGTTTTTTGGACATTTTAAGTGCAAGATGTGCATTCTTTAGGTGTCGTTTGTATTTTGTCCCGCTTATTCCTAGTCCCAGTTCTTCAAATATTGTCTACGCTCTTGATCATAAAATTTTTCTGAGTACTCAAATTTAGGAAAATATCCTAGCCTGTGATCGTGAAATCAGAATTTAGTTTAGAATCCTAATTTATATTTATTAGAGTGAGATCTAAAAACAGATTAGCATTTTGATATTTTAGATAAATTGCGAAACATTCACAATTTTAAAATTCAATATCCTTTCTCAGATAAAGGTCCTGAAAAAATCACAAAGTTACATTTCCAAGAAAAACTAATTTCAATCTTTCACGTTTCAAAATTCGCCCTAATGACTACATGGGCGTAAAAATGTATATCTTCATTAGGGTGCCAATGAATGTGTAGGGGAAATGTTTATTGCCTCAAATAAAAAGACCCTGTGCGATATTTGGACTCAATCGGACGTGATTTTAGGTGGCGCAAAATCGTTATTTTCCTTTACTATTCGGCCCAGAACTGTTTGTTATGATGAATGATATTTTAATCTAGGTTTAGAACTTTAGATTTATCGGTGAAATAAACGAAGCGCTCGTGTCCAAATTTTGTACGTGGGTATTACATAGTTTTATCTGATGAATCATCACCGGGTCACACAAATAACGCTTTGAACAATATGGGTGAGTACCCGAGCAAAGTCGGTTAACAAAATGAAAGCAAATCGATATTAAAGTGTGCAGTTCCTATCATAATGAAAACTCATTTTGATTTCAAATGTTGCGACATAAGTCTGATATCATATTGTGCTTTCATTATGCAGTCAAGACGTTTTAAATGAAAGCAACTTAACTTGAAGTTCTGCTGTTTACGTCTTGTTTAAAATTTAATTGAAATTCATCTGTCGTTGAACTAATGATTATCGTTTATCTGATTTGTTTAACACATTTTAGGTCATTCGTGACTTGCCCGCGGTGAGATTGGAGCCTAAGTCTTTCAGCTTGAGAAACATGAATGGTAACCATTTACTCTAGGCCCGTATTCAGTTAAACATTATGAATGCAAAATCAGTAATCAAATTGATTTCATTGAAAGCAGAATTAGTTTTCCGTTTGCTTCAACAGTGTAAAATTTTGCTCTCATTTTTGCTGTGTTAACCGTTAAGTCAACCAAAATGAGATCAACTGGAGTATTCAAAATAAGTTACATCATAACAGCAAATTTTGATTTCAATTTGATGTTCAGCTTTGCTCGGGTAGCGATAGTATGAATTTCAGAGGTATTGCAAAACCTCAAGGTGCTAGTGATGCACGGAGCCAGTGTTGAGAAAATGAAAAAAAAAAAATCACCAATGCCCAAGATTACGCTTGATTTTCGTAGACTAAAATCAACAAGCAAACATCTGCGGTTGATTTTGCACGCTCGGAATATCAACACGACGAATGAGAACGACCCAAATTTGAGTTTAGTCAACTCATAATCGCCAAAAGAGCAGGAACTCAGCGACGAGTAAAATTTGTCTCATGTTTTCCCAGGTTTTTCCAGGATTTTTAAGGGAAAAGTTCCCGAATTTGAGAAAAGTAAAGATTGGATTCACTCAGTCTATTGGTACTATTTCGAGACTGAATGAAATTTTCGTCAATTTCCTGATTTTCCGACAGATTTTTTAGGTTTTCCACAGGAAACCATGAGACAAATTTACTCATCGCTGAGTTCCTGCACTTTTAGCGATTATGAGTGAACTAAACTCAAATGTGGGTCGTTCTCATTCGCCGTGAAGCTAACAAAACTCACCAGCTGCAAATCTGAGGAGAGATTGAGTTTCATGATTATTGCTTTACACCCGAACGCAACCGAAGCTTCCATAACGTCGGTGAAGAGTGAAAAGAGATAGCAAACTATACTTTCTCTTTCTAAGAAAACGATGTGCAACGGCATCATTTTAGTGTCGAGTCAACTTTCAGCTTGATATTTTGCACGTTGTGAAGGAGGTTGTAAAATCATCATCAAGCATAATATTTTGTTCCAATATCACGCGTGATGTTGAGAGCGTATGAGAGCGGAAAAATGTAATTTCGTTCTCTTCCACAACCCCACCATTTTCCTCTTCATCCGTATAGGATAGCAAAGTATTTTAGAATTTGCCTGCCTGGCGGCAGCTTTTGCATACAGTTTAAATTTTAGTTCAATGAAAATATTGGATTAGTTTCAAATTGGATGTTTCGATGTGTAGTTATTCCAGTTATAACAGAGCAAGGGTAGTGAATGGACTTCAGTTTTTGAAAGGCATGCTTCTTGTTGGCTGGTTGGGAGTGGCTTCTGTCTGCTCCAAAACTCGTCTACCGAGAGACTGGAAGGAGATCTTCATAGATACCTTGCGTATTCTTCTCGTTGGCGAGCTGAGCTGAATGTGGGTATTGATTAGAGCTGTCAAGATACCTCGCGAATGCTTCTCGTTGACGGGCTAAGAGTACGTGTGGATCCTACTCCTAATCAGGCCCTAAAAACCTCTAGAGGTTGATTTTATTGGATAGGTTTGTGACTATTTCTTGTTTGTTCGTTGGTTATTTTGAAAAGGTGAAATATGAGTTTGATAAATTTGTTTTTCTTTTATTTCACTGTATTTAAATGAAATTCCTTTAACATGAAAATGTATGATCTCGAAATTTTCTGACAAAAATTCCGTTAAATTCCGAATCGAAGCGAAATACACGGTATAACTCGATATACCGCATGCCCTTACAATACAGCCATATCGAATCACCATGAAATTGAATGTTAAATTCGTGCGAACAGAAAAACTTTTCACGGCTTTATGCGAATTTTATACGGTTTTTTATACTCAAGAGATTATTGGCGTTGTCTTGAGCTGCGTAGTGAAGGGGTGTCAACCCGGATGAATCTTGAGCATCTATTTTGGAAGTTGATTGGGGAGAAGTTTTGCTACTTCTAAATGCTCCCGTTTAATACCATCGTTATTAACCATGCTCCAATGCAGTTCATAAAATCCATGAATATATTGTGGCGACCAACAGCCACAGTTGAGAGGTGTTCTTTATTCGTCATTCTGATAAAGTTTAACCATTGCTAGATGCCCATTTTCACCTGCACCTACACCTGTTTTATTATTTTTATCCAGATGATCCACAATGATCGTTGGCAGATCGATCGCGGAGAGGTTTAACAATTTTTTGTTCATTTTAGTTGCATAGTATAGAGGTGTTTTATTATATATATCCTGGCACGTCCTACACGTAGGCAGATCGATCGAGGAGAAGTTCAACAATATCTAGATGCCTCATTTGAATTGCATAGTGGAGAGGTGTTCATTTTGCTTCATCCTGATGATCAACGTTGGCAGATCGATCGAGGAGAAGTTTAACAATTTCTAAACACCCACATTCACTTGCATAGTGGAGAGGTGTTTTATTAAATTTATCCCGATGATCAACGTTGGCAGATCGATCGAGGAGAAGTTTAACAGTTTCTAAACGCCCCCATTCACTTGCATAGTGGAGAGGTGTTTTATTATCTTCATCCTGATGATCAACGTTGGCAGATCGATCGAGGAGAAGTTTAACAATTTCTAGATGCTTCATTTGACTTGCATAGTGGAGAGGTGTTTTATTAAATTTATCCCGATGATCAACGTTGGCAGATCGATCGAGGAGAAGTTTAACAGTTTCTAAACGCCCCCTTTCACTTGCATAGTGAAGAGGTGTTTTATTAAATTTATCCCGATGATCAACGTTGGCAGATCGATCGAGGAGAAGTTTAACAGTTTCTAAACGCCCCCATTCACTTGCATAGTGGAGAGGTGTTTTATTATCTTCATCCTGATGATCCACCTTGGCAGATCGATCGAGGAGAAGTTTAACAATTTCTAGATGCCCATTTCTACTTGCATAGTGGAGAGGTGTTCTATTAAATTTATCCCGATGATCAACGTTGGCAGATCGATCGAGGAGAAGTTTAACAGTTTTTAAACGCCCCATTTGACTTGCATAGTGGAGAGGTGTTCTATTAAATTTATCCCGATGATCAACGTTGGCAGATCGATCGAGGAGAAGTTCAACAATTTCTAAACACCCACATTCACTTGCATAGTGGAGAGGTGTTTTATTATATTCATCCTGATGATCCACGTTGGTAGATCGATCCAGGAGAAGTTTAACAATTTCTAGATGCCCCAGTTGACTTGCATAGTTGAGAGGTGTTTTATTAAATTTATCCCGATGATCAACGTTGGCAGATCGATCGAGGAGAAGTTCAGCAATTTCTAGATGCCCTCTTCCACTTGCATAGTGGAGAGGTGTATTATTATATTCATCCTGATGATCCACGTTGGTAGATCGATCCAGGAGAAGTTTAACAATTTCTAGATGCCCCAGTTGACTTGCATAGTGGAGAGGTGTTTTATTATCTTTATCCTGACGATCCACCTTGGCAGATCGATCGAGGAGAAGTTTAACAATATCTAAACGCCCCATTTGACTTGCATAGTGAAGAGGTGTTTTATTAAATTTATCCTGATGATCAACGTTGGCAGATCGATCGAGGAGAAGTTTAACAATTTCTAAACACCCACATTCACTTGCATAGTGGAGAGGTGTTTTATTAAATTTATCCCGATGATCAACGTTGGCAGATCGATCGAGGAGAAGTTTAACAGTTTCTAAACGCCCCCATTCACTTGCATAGTGGAGAGGTGTTTTATTATCTTCATCCTGATGATCAACGTTGGCAGATCGATCGAGGAGAAGTTTAACAATTTCTAGATGCTTCATTTGACTTGCATAGTGGAGAGGTGTTTTATTAAATTTATCCCGATGATCAACGTTGGCAGATCGATCGAGGAGAAGTTTAACAGTTTCTAAACGCCCCCTTTCACTTGCATAGTGAAGAGGTGTTTTATTAAATTTATCCCGATGATCAACGTTGGCAGATCGATCGAGGAGAAGTTTAACAGTTTCTAAACGCCCCCATTCACTTGCATAGTGGAGAGGTGTTTTATTATCTTCATCCTGATGATCCACCTTGGCAGATCGATCGAGGAGAAGTTTAACAATTTCTAGATGCCCATTTCTACTTGCATAGTGGAGAGGTGTTCTATTAAATTTATCCCGATGATCAACGTTGGCAGATCGATCGAGGAGAAGTTTAACAGTTTTTAAACGCCCCATTTGACTTGCATAGTGGAGAGGTGTTCTATTAAATTTATCCCGATGATCAACGTTGGCAGATCGATCGAGGAGAAGTTCAACAATTTCTAAACACCCACATTCACTTGCATAGTGGAGAGGTGTTTTATTATATTCATCCTGATGATCCACGTTGGTAGATCGATCCAGGAGAAGTTTAACAATTTCTAGATGCCCCAGTTGACTTGCATAGTTGAGAGGTGTTTTATTAAATTTATCCCGATGATCAACGTTGGCAGATCGATCGAGGAGAAGTTCAGCAATTTCTAGATGCCCTCTTCCACTTGCATAGTGGAGAGGTGTATTATTATATTCATCCTGATGATCCACGTTGGTAGATCGATCCAGGAGAAGTTTAACAATTTCTAGATGCCCCAGTTGACTTGCATAGTGGAGAGGTGTTTTATTATCTTTATCCTGACGATCCACCTTGGCAGATCGATCGAGGAGAAGTTTAACAATATCTAAACGCCCCATTTGACTTGCATAGTGAAGAGGTGTTTTATTAAATTTATCCTGATGATCAACGTTGGCAGATCGATCGAGGAGAAGTTTAACAATTTCTAAACACCCACATTCACTTGCATAGTGGAGAGGTGTTTTATTATATTCATCCTGATGATCCACGTTGGTAGATCGATCCAGGAGAAGTTTAACAATTTCTAGATGCCCCAGTTGACTTGCATAGTTGAGAGGTGTTTTATTAAATTTATCCCGATGATCAACGTTGGCAGATCGATCGAGGAGAAGTTCAGCAATTTCTAGATGCCCACTTCCACTTGCATAGTGGAGAGGTGTTTTATTAAATATATCCGGAAGATCCACCTTGGCAGATCGATCGAGGAGAAGTTTAACAATTTCTAGATGCCCACTTCCACTTGCATAGTGGAGAGGTGTTTTATTATATTTATTCTGATGATCCACCTTGGCAGATCGATCGAGGAGAAGTTTAACAATATCTAAACGCCCCATTTGACTTGCATAGTGAAGAGGTGTTTTATTAAATTTATCCTGATGATCAACGTTGGCAGATCGATCGAGGAGAAGTTTAACAATTTCTAAACACCCACATTCACTTGCATAGTGGAGAGGTGTTTTATTATATTCATCCTGATGATCCACGTTGGTAGATCGATCCAGGAGAAGTTTAACAATTTCTAGATGCCCCAGTTGACTTGCATAGTTGAGAGGTGTTTTATTAAATTTATCCCGATGATCAACGTTGGCAGATCGATCGAGGAGAAGTTCAGCAATTTCTAGATGCCCACTTCCACTTGCATAGTGGAGAGGTGTTTTATTAAATATATCCGGAAGATCCACCTTGGCAGATCGATCGAGGAGAAGTTTAACAATTTCTAGATGCCCACTTCCACTTGCATAGTGGAGAGGTGTTTTATTATATTTATTCTGATGATCCACGGTGGCAGATCGATCGAGGAGAAGTGTAGCAATTTCTAGATACCCCCATTCACTTGCATAGTGGAGAGGTGTTTTATTATCTTTATCCTGACGATCCACCTTGGCAGATCGATCGAGGAGAAGTTTAACAGTTTTTAAACGCCCCATTTCACTTGCATAGTGGAGAGGTGTATTATTAAATTTATCCCGATGATCAACGTTGGCAGATCGATCGAGGAGAAGTTTAACAATTTCTAGATGCCCACTATTACTTGCATAGTGGAGAGGTGTTTTATTATCTTCATCCTGATGATCCACGTTGGCAGATCGATCGAGGAGAAGTTCAGCAATTTCTAGATGCCCACTTCCACTTGCATAGTGGAGAGGTGTTTTATTATCTTCATCCTGATGAAGATTGGCAGATCGATCGAGGAGAAGTTTAACAATTTCTAGATGCCCACTATTACTTGCATAGTGGAGAGGTGTTTTATTATATTCACCCGGATGATCCACGTTGGCAGATCGATCGAGGAGAAGTTTAACAATTTCTAGATGCCCCAGTTGACTTGCATAGTTGAGAGGTGTTTTATTAAATTTATCCCGATGATCAACGTTGGCAGATCGATCGAGGAGAAGTTCAGCAATTTCTAGATGCCCACTTCCACTTGCATAGTGGAGAGGTGTTTTATTAAATATATCCGGAAGATCCACCTTGGCAGATCGATCGAGGAGAAGTTTAACAATTTCTAGATGCCCATTTTTACTTGCATAGTGGAGAGGTGTTTGATTAAATTTATCCTGATGATCCACCTTGGCAGATCGATCTAGGAGAAGTTTAGCAATTTCTAGATGCCCCATGGTACTAGCCACGTGCAGCGGACTTCTATTGGAGCGTTCATTAAAATTTAATGCTTTAACCACGGCCATCAAATTCACATCTATGCCATAATCAAGTAGAAGTAAAACCATCTCATAATGACCAGCACGCGTCGCAGTGTGCAATAAAGATCCGTATTCTTTGTATGTTTTAGTTTTGTAATCATTCTTTTGTAGTAACCCCTTCACTACTTTTACAACATTTGCTTTACATGCCCAGAATGCAACCTCAGGTTTTTCTTTACAAATATCGCTCAGAGCAATCATTTGCTCTGATTGTTCTGAAAACTGTTCTTCAGTTAGCATAAAGAAAAATCTTCGAACTGTTTTATGATAAACAAGTACTTCGTCCAAAATTGCTTCGCATTTTTGGATTTGATCATATAGATACGCTGCAACGAAAAATTCGGCATAGGATCGGTGTACGAATCTAAGCTTGCCTTCGGAAATATTAAATAGAGGAGAGTGCTCGTTTCCCTGTTTGATTCGGGTTTGAAGTTCGTTGTAACGTTTTTCGTGTTTACCCGATGCGATTATTTCCTTATGTTTATCCTCAAAAATCTCGTGCCAAGCAGCTATTTGATGCTCAATAGTGAAGTATTTCAACTGACGGCGCTCTTCGTCATCACTTGACATGTCGATATTTCGGTAAGCATCTTGGTCTCTTTTTTTCTTCCATTTGATTTGAAACGAAAATTCTACAAACTTTTTAAACAATGAGACAACATTAAATTTTTCTTTCGGGAAAATATCTGGTATACGGTTATCTGGAACGGTATTTAAATATTGTTGGAAATCATCAGAATATACTTCCGCCAACAATCGAATTAAAAGTGGAGTACCAAAGAATGTTGAGTCATTGCTATTTATGTCCGAGTAGAATTTTTCGAGCAATTGAGTTGAATAAATTTTAAATTCCCTTGAATCATCGGAAGCTTTCCATGAATTTTTCAAAACCATAATTTGTTCATCGTTTTCAAATGGAATCAATCTGATTGCCCTTGTTTTAAATTTTGTTTCAAGAATATCTTTGACATGATATCTACCACTTACAATCACTCGAATATTCTCCTTTGACAATAATTGCCTAAATACGGCGATTGCCTCGTTATGAAAAGTGATCTCATCGAACCCATCAAACAGGATTATAGTTCGATTTGCGTTGCTTTCTAGATTGTTTTTCAATATTATCCAGCTTGTTTCTGAAATAGTCGATTCCAGAATTTTGAAAACCGCTTCTAAGTTTTCACAGCCTGATTTGAGCACTTCCTTTAAGTTATTCAAATATATCAAGAACACATCAATATCGGACTTCTTTTGAACTTCGAAGGCAATGTGTTGGAGGATAGTTGTTTTTCCCATACCAGGCTCTCCGATGAAGAGAGAAAATTTGTTTTCTGCTGGGTCGTCTATCAATCGTTTGATGAAATCATGGTCGCTAACAATACGATTTTTATCAATTAATTTTCTTTCTATGTACGAGCTTCCAATATATTTACGTTGTGATAGATTACGACTCAGCTCCCTCGTTATTTCTTCGACACAAGAACGTCCCTCTTTATAAGATAAGTAACTCTTTTCTGGCTTATTGTTTTTTGTATCCTTGTAACTATTAGAATTGATCCAATTTTTAAAACATTCATTAAATTTAAAGAAAGGCAGTTTTAATTGTGCTTTTCCAAGATCGTCCGGTGGAATCCAATCTCTCATCCATGAGCGAAGATCATTCTCGATGGTTTTTATAAGATCACTTGGTTGGTTTACACAGAAAGTTAAATGCTGAAAGAACTTGCTCACGCTATCTTCATTTAAATACGCTGGTAGTTGGGTGTTCCTAGATTTACCATTCATAAAATTTTTAATCGTTGGATTTTCTGCTATTAATTTCCCATCAATATCCTTTAGTAGCTCATTGTGCAACCATTCATCCTTTCTGGCTGAGACATCATCAGAGAGCTTTAGATTTCCATTTGAAACTTTCAGGATCTTCTGCAACGGTGTTTTGTAGCTGATAAGTATTTCCGAAACTTTTCCTTTTTTGAAGAGTTCAATGATCGCATCCCTAATGGCATTTAGTTCGGTGTTCATCAACTTCAGTAAATCTTCAATTTTATCCTTTTTTGGTCTGAATCTTTTGTAGCAATCGTTCGATTCAGCAAACTTCATTATTGGATTCACTTCACCTTGTTCACAGTCCTCGATGTCCACCAACTCTTTAAGCTGACTATTACTATCGTCTAATGATTTATTGGTTAAGATAAAAAATCGCATCTTCAAGTCCTTGAACTCATCTTTTTGAATAACGTCTAAATACGACTGTATGTACTTGATAATAGCAAAATCATTATTACCTTTACACGTCTTCGGAAACAAATTGTCGAACGATATTGTACCATCTGAGCTGTCTTTGTGTTTGGCTTGGAACAACCACACTTCCTTCGGTTCTTCGAAAATTATGACCACATCATCGAATTTTCCAGCGTCCTTCATTTCTGAGGCCAGTATGAATTCAGATTTCTGCAAAGATGCTCGCTCAAACAGCGCAAATGCTAAATCTTCTTCGTATTTGTTGCCATGATTGCCAGTATTGCCACCCCATGCATAGCGGCGACTGACAACTGTTTCCTTGGGGGGCTCCATTATTTTTCCTAAAAAAAAAGCACAATCTATTAGTAACATTTATCGTTAGCATTTCATGTCTATTGATTCAAACAAATCTGAAGGCTGCTCAACTGGAGTTGCTCTTCTAGACACAGGAAAAGCATTCGACAGTGTTTGGCATGACAAAGTTTCAGAGTTGGTTGAAAATGCTATCTAACATGAAGCTTTAGTGTGATAATTGATTAGCTAGAGAATGGTCATTAGAAGAGAGTAGGTAGATAGTTCCGTTAGAGTACGGCAATATGAAAATTGAATAGAAGTTGAAAATGAGCGAAGGGCCTTTGGCTATTCCACAGCCGCAGACATTAATGAGCAAAGGCAGTCGCACACTTTTTGCCTGTAGATTTGAAGACATACTTCAAATCTTCCGCGTACTTCGTACCGGCTAGGCAAAGAGTGTGCGTTTGACTTTGTACTGTCGCATTAATGGCCCTTCGCTCATTTCAACTTCTATTCAATTTTCATACTGCCGTACTCTAGCGGAACTATCTACCGACCCTCTTCTAAAGACCATTATCTAGCTAATAAATTATCACACTAAAGTTTCATGTTATATCGTATTTCCAACCAACTCTGAACATCGCAAACTTCGCGTTTGAAGTAACATAAAAACACTTTGAATGAAAAAGTTTATTTTTCCACTCAATATTATGAAATTAATTTTTTGAGTTACGGTTTAGCGACTTGCAGTAAATTTAATTGTTTGTAAGAAACTTTGAACATACTGAGACGTAAGCACATATCAACGGTAAGAAACGTGTGTGTGAGAAAATTTGCGAAAAAATCTAAGGGAATTCAATTCCCATTCAGTACACAGATGCATTGCCAATTATACAGCGGTGGACCTATATGGTCTATGGATGTATTTGGCTGATGACACTTGAGTTTCGAATATGTTTCCCACCCTAGTTTTTTTTTTTGCGCAAGCGTTCTCTAATACACAACAATTGTCTATTATCGACGATATGTGCTTGTACCGCAACCACTCAGTATCAGTCGATGTGAACAAACACAGCTCTTTTTTGTTGTACCTACATCCTTACAAGTTTAGATATTTTTTCTTCTTATTTACAAAAATGGAAGATTTCTCCCAACGCTTCCAAAACTCAACTTATAATATTTCCACATAAGCCTAGAGCTTCGTTTTTGAAACCTAATAGTAGTCACATAGTCACTATGAACGGAGTTACAATTTCATGGTCATGTCAAGTGAAATATCTTGGATTAATACTTGACCAAAAATTAACTTTTAAAGATCACATTGAGGGCATTCAAGCCAAATGTAACAAATATATAAAATGTTTGTATCCTCTTATAAACAGGAAATCCAAACTTTGCCTGACGAATAAACTTCTAATATTTAAACAAGTTTTTAGACCGGCCATGCTTTACGCTGTGCCAATATGGTCTTGTTGTTGCTCTACCAGGAAAAAAGCACTTCAAAGGATTCAGAACAAAGTTCTGAAGATGATTTTGAAGTTGCCTCCCTGGTACAGTACTACCGAAGTGCATAGAATGTCGAATGTTGAGACTTTAGAACAAATGTCCGACAAAATAATTAATAATTTCAGGCAACAATTGAGGATTGCAACGATTAATTCTCTTTATATTATGTGATGAACTAGCCTACGGCTAAAAATCACAAAAATAAAGAAAAAAAAAAAAAAAAAAAAAATTCTCTTTATACTTAGATAAGATTTACTTTTAGTTTTTAGTTTTAAGATATCAATTGTTATACTGACATGCAAGTTTAAAAAACCTGTTTAAAATATTAAAATACTGAATTGCCAAGACAGGAACAATGCAAAAATACTTAGATATATATAATAACAATTAAGGCTGGTAAGTTACTGTAGTAACTGAAGCACCTAGGTTAAAATGAAATGTAGTTTATTTTGAGTTTGGAACAAATAAAGAGTTTGAAAAGAATCAGGAA